GGCCTGCCATGCTTTTCAAAAACAGGTTTATATCTTTTCTTGATTATAACTGTTGTGGGGTTTTTTTTTTTAGATACAAGGTCTATTTTTTTTAGATATGAATGTCATAAATCATGTTTAAAGGTGTTACATTATTCAGCTTTGCAAATCTAGAATTATTGTAACAGCTGTGCCTGGCACAATTTTAAGAAGCTTTGTCAAATATGGCAAAAAAAAGTTTAGTTTCAGGTAGAAAAATACGGTAGGTCAGGTTATAGGAACCACACTTTTTTTTATCTTGGCCTTAGCAGTATAACCAAAGGGTCTATGCATATCTGTGAAGTATGTGTATGCCTATTTGTACACCCAAGACATTGGGTGGTTCTATAACTTGGCATTTCCTTGTCTTAGCACTAATGATCTGTGTTCAGTTCTTATATGATGTTAATTTCTCAGATACAAATCCATTGATTGACAATGATAGGATTTTGAGCAGTAGCAGTACTAACCAGCAAACATTTCAATAGCACCAACTCTCACAGAAGGTTTCAATTCTTCAATGTCTTGTTCTAGGTTTTGAAAACGCATAATTTCAGCTTTCCAATCTGATAGAATAGGTTCCGTTGTCAGAAAATCCTAACAAATAGACATGATGCGGAATGAATATATGTACAATATAATGGTTGGTACCACGACTTAAGATTTAAGTAACTTGTAATAGGTCTTCAATAGCATATATATAAAAATATATCCAAGTAATATATCAATGTTCTTAAAAAGACGTAAACCACGTAGGTAAGCGGTGATCACTAGCGACCAGCACTTAGAATTTTATGATAACACAAGCAACTGGACCATCATTCTATTGTTTTTGACTTCATGACTTTTTCATAAAATTATTAAACAGAAGCTATGTTGAGTCAGCGATACAAAGAATACTTATTTCTCACTAATAATGTGATTTACCAGCATTCCATTGGAAAAGAAAACAGATTAAATTCTTGTTTCCACTTTGGCCGTAACAACATAGATGATATGCTTTGAAAAAAAATGTATGCCAGGTCAGAGGTCAAAGTCACACAAAAAATGTAGTTAAATCCATACTAGTAGGATGGCAAAATGAATATTAATTATTCATGAATATTAATTAGCAACCATCACTCAAATCAGGCTGGGCAGAATCCTATAATTGCAAAACTTTTTTTTTTCTGCACACTTTTTTCTAGCAGAAAAGACAAAAAAAATCTATCCAATGATTCTAGAGTACCTTAACAGTTTGATCTCTATCTTCTTCCCATAGGAATTTATATTCATTGTATTGCTTTAGTGCTTCCCCAGCTTCTTGTCGAATGGAGTTCATAGCAGATGATAACATCATGACTAGTTTATTGATATCTTTATGGTCAGCAATACTCTTGTAGTAATTGTTCAGCTTCTGTGGTGCTATAGGTTCCAATCCATCATCTTTATATAAAAATATACATTCAAGAATAATTGCACCATCTTATAACTACTTATACCACTCTTGGTCATGTGACCTATTGTTCTGGTTGTACATTTATTCTTGTAAATCCAAACTGATACAGTTGTATTCATATGCAGAGAGTAAATTGTATTCATACATACATACATAAAACATACATCACTTGTAAACTAGCCAGTTAACTATGATAACTTCTAAACCAGACATTGCACCTTGGTTCAGTGACAAACAGTGTACATGTAGCTGTCAACAAGATCAATAATTTTATTAACACATAACCACCCCCACCCCCGAAGAGATGAAATGGGTTACAATTGAAAAACAAACAAATGCAAATTTAGTCAAAAAAAGAAACTAAAAAAATGCTAGAAAAAGTCAAATCAGACTAAGGCGCTGTTGCTGTCTATGCTTTATACATAATGAGATGAACTGTGCAAGAGGTATTGACAAGTCATTTGTATCCATTATGTATGGAAATTTATTTTGCATTGTGTCAAATTTATCATCAATTTTTTTAGCATCTGAAAACAATTTCTTTCTTTGCAACATCTATAATTGACAAGCAGATAGTTATTCCTCAGCTAGCCAACCGAAGCAGATAAAAATAAATTATGTAAAGTACTGTGGTTCAGCACGCAGCGGTTTGCTGAATCTTTCACTTTTACCATTTTCAGTGTGGTATAAGGCAATAATCACAACTAATTATTGTGTGTCTATGTTTCTAAAATCCACAGTTGTAGTCATCATCTTATGAATGCACAAGGCAGTTGCTGGCTACAGCTTTGGCATTTACAATCAAATGAATCATAAACACATTCTCTAACTTGTGTCATAAATATTGTGAAAATGAAAGAAAGAAAATATCTTACATAACCAAAAAAAATAAAAAATTAAGAATCAACAGAAACTGGAGCAGGACCAAAAACAAATATATTTTTTTTTGCTGAACTAATGAATATTTAGAGCTACCAGAATATATATTTATTCTTTATTTCAGAGAAAAGAACAAATTAGAGATAAAACCTGTAAACTATAATCAATGTTCAATGAAATAGTCATATAATTTGTTATCATATCAACTACTCTTGCAGTGTTTGTTTTCACTACTATTCAACTTACAAGAATCCTCAATTGGTATGTTATCCTTTCTAGTAGTATGCTGATCTGATAATCTGATGACTACTTCAGGATCTTTATAGCGATTCTGTCCCCATTGGGCAACACCACGATTGACTTCAACAACAAACGCTGCCGCCTTATTCAATGCTAACTGTATGTCATCAAGGCTGGGTTGCATGACCTAATTGTTTTTTTTATAAGAATATTAGTGTTAATTGGAGTACAATAAAGAAAATCAGACAGAGAACAGTTGCCAGGAACTACAGTGTGTATATGTACTATGAAATTATTATGCAGTAAAAGGCTTGAATTATTAGCATAATAATGGAAAAGCATTCTTAATTCATTCAATAGTCATTCATTTTGGGGAGATAAAAACAGAATATTTGCCAAGATAAGAGCAAGAAGTCACACACGACACAGTGATTGGCAAATGTGCCAAAAATATATGACATCAAGTCAAGCTTTTCCCAAAAAAATATATAATAAGTTTGTAAACTTTCAAATGTAATGTGGATGACTACTATACAGAAACAACATGTTTGGAACGTAGTTCAAGTTGTGTAGTAAAATATCAATCTAATACTGTGTATTTCTGCAGACTTGAATTAACGTCAATTCAATCCCACTCCCCAGTTCAAGCAACCAGGGCCCCCAAAATTTGTCTATCATTGCCAGAGCAGTTTACTTAATATACTGATGCATATTTCAACAGTAAGTAAAAACTTACCACATTGGGAATACATAATTTTATATCAGCTTTAAAAAGTGCATTGCCCTTCACTTCTTTTCTTGGTGGAGCACTATAACCCATAGTAGTTCGTCGACTGACAGCACTGCAAATACCAAGATCAATTTATCAAATATGGGTATATTACTGTTATTGATATATTATTTCTAACCCCCAACCAGCAACATTGCCAACTAAAAAATTATTATGTCTAGATAAAACCTTGCCCATATTTACTAGAATTAGATATACACCAGTGAATGTGTGCTAACAATATAGCGATGATCGTATGCTTTGAACGTCAAATTTTTGTGGTCCAAATATAGAACAATTTATGTTGATTTATTCTATGAAAAAGGGCTGACTTTCTTTCATTTTCTAGACTTGTTCAAAAAGGTTAGTACAGGTTATTGATGTTAAAGGGAAACTAAATAGAGCCTATTTTGGTGTTTGTATTTATCAAGTTATGTATATTGATTATAAATTTGAAAAAAAAAATTAAAAAAATGATTATCTTCAGAGT